GACAGCAAATGCAATGAGTTTGCTTCCTTCTTTTCTGAGAAGATCAATAACATCAGGAAGGCGATTAGCACAATTATCCACCAAATTATGCAGAGGTCAGACAGATTCAACAACAATATCAAAAAGAAGATACTATGTCTGCTCTTGAAGAAATTGATAGCAAAATTTTGGAAGAAATAGTACAGCACCTTAAATCGTCAACCTGCTATCTTGACACACTTCCCACATATTTTTTCAAAAGGGTGCTTAACTGTTTGGAAGCAGATCTCTTAGAAGTGGTGAACACCTCTCTTCTTTCTGGGATGTTTCCAAACTCCCTAAAAACTGCAGTTGTTAAACCCCTTCTGAAAAAGAGAAATCTTGATAGCACCATATTGAGCAACTATAGACCAATATCAAATATTCCTTTTATAGGCAAGATTAATTAAAAGGTAGTCTTTAATCACAGCACAGCCATTTACCATTGTGTATGAAATGTGCTATATAAATAAACTTGCCTTGCCTTGCCTAAACACCCAGTTTACTCTTGTCTAAAATTTAAATTAATATCTTACATTTACAAAATGAGCCAATAACAGCATAAATAAGCCTTTTAATGAAAGTAAAGGTCTATATTTATTAAAAAAGAAACTACTTCTCACTGCTGTTTCCTGGTGGTTTTGAGGACAATTACACCAAGTCGACCACCTATCATTTCAAATAATAGTACAATGGTGAGCATGACATGTATAAACGTCTCGTCTGTTTAGGGAGGTTGTGGAGGTTGGTGGTGTGGAGATGGGTGAAAGTATAAACAAGGCTTTAGAAGATTAGAAAACAAATGCACCAACGGAATAAATACTGCAGGTACAGCAAGCTCACAGTCTGTAATGCTCTAAATATTTTATTAAAGTTCTGATTATTGAATTGGGGTTTGGGCTTATATGAATGTATCCGTAAAGGGAACTTACGTCTTCAGAAAAGTTTTGATGGCATTTGCTACTTTGTTCTCAGCAGTAACCAAGGAAATGTTATATTGCAACTGTTTCATAAGCGCCACCTACTGTCAGAGTGTGAATTTGCATTTTTAACATAATTTCTCTAAGGTAGTTAGACAATTCTGTTTCGTTTTAAATCTTGAAGTTTTACAATCTAATTTAAATAAAAAATAACTGTTTGTGATATTTACAGCATGTAGCATCTTCGTTTGAATCATGAATAAAATGCCAATAATCTAACCTAAATGTATCGATCACTTTGATTTCAAACTTTGAATTGAATTGACCTGAAATATATCTGCTGCTGTCTCTTTAAGACCAAATGCAGGGATCTAAAATACTGTTACATGTGCATTTTCCATGTCTATAGAACTTTTTCACAAAGATGTCAGTTAACTTCTGCTTTTCCGCAAAGCAGTTGTACTTCCATTTTACCTTCGCACCAGAGACTTCTCAGCAAAACGCAGAAACAACATGAAATTTGAAACCTTACCTTAACCCTAATTCCACCGGCACCGTTTGGCGTATAGGGCGACAGGCATTCTCCAATAGCTTTGACCCACAGCGGTAACTTCGGCCTCATCCCATGGAATGTTGACTGCCTGCAGTTCGTCCATAAAAGTCCTTCACCAGGTGATTTGAGGTAGTCCTTGTTTTCGTCCTTTGTCCTTGCAGCCTGCCAGAACATCACCATCTCGAGTAGCTGTTGGTCAGGAAGGCGTAAAATGTGTCAGTCAAAACAAAAGCGGCGTACGCGGAGAGGGGCCGTGTGTGGCGGTATAATTCCACGTTCGTAACATGGTCCCGGTAAGTGATCTTGAGGATGTGGTGCAGACATTGGAGGTGAAAAACTTTTTTAGTGATGGATTCTGTCATCTTCCGGGTTTCGCATGCGTAGGTCATCATCCGCACAACAATCGTGGCCAAGAGCCGCAGTTGAATCTGCAGCCTTCTGTCAATGAATTCTGAGTCCGGTGCTGGCCACTTGATTATCTAGGTCTGTAGTGAGATCTCGTAGGGCAGTTTGGGTTGGGCCAAAAATGAAAACGGCAAAGTCGAGATCTGCAAGGAGGAGGATGCCACCTGTCCAGGGCATGCCGATGTGCAGGTGGTCAATGGAATGGTGGTTGATGAACTTGATGAGGAATAGCATCAGCGAAAGCATGCAATCTTGACGTACACCAGTTTTGAACATGAAGAAATCCATTACCCCTTCTTACATCTGTACGCAGCAGTGAGAGCCTTGGTACAGAGATGGGATTCTGTTAGCTTGGGCTATCGTCCATAACATTTCTCTGTGCACTGAGTCAAAGGCCTTGACAACGTTGATGAAGTTCAGTGAGATCCATGGTTGGTATTCCAGCGATTGTACAACCACTTGCCGCAGAATAAAAATCTGCTCGATATACAATCGGCCACTTGTTGATTTCTAAGGCAGGCATCGACAGCTCGTCGGAGGTGGTTTAGGAGGACAATGGAAAATACCTTTCCAGGTATCGATAGCAGGGTAATACCCCACCAGTTATTGCACTTGGAGAGATCACCTTTTTTCAGAAGCGTGACGATCATACCTCATTTCCATTCCTTGGGGACTACTGAGGCCTCCCAGCAAGCACTGAGCAGGTCTGTCAGGGCATCAACAAGGCACTGGTCACCAGATTTGAGTAGCTCAGGCGGCATCTCATCCAGGCCTGCCGTCTTGCCATTCTTGAGTACCCGGATTGTATTTTTTGTTTCTGCTGCTATGATCATGTCGAGGTTGACTGGCAGATCGGGTGTAGGGATGAGGAGGCCGGGATCGAATGCTGTGGTTGACGATGGTTTAAGATTTCCTTGAAGTGCTCGACCCACCGACACTCACATTCATCTTGGGTAGGAAGGACCCTGCTGCTCCAATCTTTGATCGGTATGCCGCTTCTAGTGTAGGAGCCAGTGAGCCCTCAAACGATCCGATATAGCATGTGCGTGTCATTTTGATGTGCAGCTTCTTGTGCCTTGGTACCTTTCCAGTCAACCCACTCATGCTTGTCATGTCGGCAACTTCGCTTTACTTGTCGATTCAAGTCCCTATACTTTATATACTTCGTCCAACGGGCCTTGCTAATGCCAAGGATGTCAATATGATAGCGATCGAATTCTCACAGGAGTTGTGCCTATTTGCCAGTTTGATATAATGTCCGAGCATTTCAGGTAGCGAATCAAAATTGATGATGTGGCATTGAGAGACTTGCCATGCATCAGGGGTCGGACATTCAAATAAATTTTTTCTGATACCGTCATCCATGATTGGCAGTCATCTCCGCTATCGAAAGCACATAAGAGACCACTTCTTGTTGTTTAGTAGCGGCAGGGATTTTTTCAGGGTGGGGTTGCTGGCCCCACGCCCAACCATCCTCCTTTATCCGGGCTTGGGACTGGCATGTGGTAGACCCCCAAGGCAGAGTTGAAATATGAAAATATGACTTTTTGTTTGTACATAAAGACACTGAATGATAAGGTGTAAGTGATAAGGTGATAAGGTGACCACATGTAAGCATCTAAAACACTCGCTTATTTGATAAAAAACAAAAGAAACACTTTGCGAACGTCACAAGAATCAGAAAGTGTACGACTACAGTGCTAGGTTTTCAACTCCTCCATCAACTTCAAGTGGCTAATCTCACTGATTGGTACGTTTTTTTGAGATGCCAGATGTCTCACCTTGAATGCAGCTGCAATCATCCTCTAACCGTAATTGTGGTGCGACTGGGTGAACTCCATGCTGGAAGCGCTAGCGCTCCACTATGCTGGCGGAAGTAAATAATACACTGCTTCAAGTCTGAACGGAAGTTGCGTGACATCATTGTGAAAAAGGCTTATTGTTTATGTTAACTTAAGTGACTGTGTTTAAGTGAATAAACCAAGACGGGCATTTTAACATGTTTTTGTGTATTTTCTGTTTGAGTGGCGACTTTATTTGTGCGTGCTTTAGGTAGCAGATGGTACCAAAAAATAAAAAAACATCTATTTGATAGCATGTGAGAATTCAATTAAAGCACAGAGAGCAGATGTACATCACAGAGACGTCTATTTGACATCTGCATTTACATCTGCAAGATGTTTTTTAGAGTGTTTGCTCATCTGGAACACGTCTATACTATTGCTTAAACATGTACTGAGGAGATTGTGTTCATGCATTTTTCCACCTCTAGTTCACGAGCCATCTGCTGAAACTGAACCATCAGTTTTGTGGTTCTGGTGCTGGTACTCCACTCATGTTAAATGACGCTTTGCTCAGGTGTAAAAGAAGAAAAGGTAACTGTTGATCAGGGAGAAAATCTGCCGCTCCTGCACACCTGTGTAATATCCTACTTTGCAACTCCATCACAGCAATACATAAATCTGTTACAGCTAAGATTTTCTAAACGTTGAGTTGCTCCATTCTGCTGTCTGTTTATTTAAATGTGTAACCTAAACAACTGCTTTAAAGGTTCTGAGAGCTAAAGTGACTGTCTCTTTTCATATTATATGTACAATAAACTGCATGAGTTGTCAAACACTTTGGTCTCATGTCGTCTGTTTGTCTGGGCCACTGGGTCTCATTAATTATTATTATTTTTTAATCAGTTTTGAAATACTATTGAATGATTATTTGGTTTTTGATTTTGATTTTTTTCCTGGCAGTTTGCCAGTAACACTTTGCATCCAGATAATGTTTCAGAGTGATAAATAATTATGTAAATAAAAATTATTGAATTAAAAACAGACACTCACCACTGACACTGAATGTCTTCTCTGAGGACACTCTGGGGCTGCTGATCTCAAACTTATAAAGACCAGAGTCTGTGATTCTGAAGCTTCTGATCTTGAGATCTCCAGTCTGAATGTCCAGCTGCAGTCTGTCTGTGAATTTCACATCATTATCATATGTAGCAGTGTTCTTAGTCACTCTAGCTATGCGAGTGTTGTTAAACCTCCACTCAATCTCTTCATCTCTCTGTAGTCCAGCATCAGTGTGTAGAGTGACAGAATCCCCCTCCATCACTGACACTGACTCTACTTTATCTGTATCACCAAACACACCTGAAAAACAAACAGAAACCGTCAGTCAGACGGAGATAAAACTTATAAAACACTCAATTGTGTGTCTTGTGTCTTGCCTACTGATCAGTGGCACTAATAAATGTCTTGTGAATTGCTGCAGTCTACAGTGAACCTGAGTCTACATTAATGAAGGCATGAGTAAAGGTCTCTTTGTGCCCAGACTCATAAACATGGAGATATATATCTAAAAAACACTTAATTGTAATGTAATGTGATGCTGCCGTTGTTACTGGACAATATACAGGGATCAGTTCATCTCAAGCGGTCCAATGGAGTCTGCTTGGCCATTTTTAATTTTCTTAATTTTTTTTAATTGATTACCTCTATTTATTGGCATTGCAAAACCACCTGTTTTTATTTTTATTTGACTTGGTTTAACCACTGTGGGAATTTTTGTGTGACAGCAAACAACAGGTTTACAAAAACCTTAATATTCCTCTGGAAAAATTACAGTTTGATTTAGAAAATTACAAAAGTAGAGTTTGATGTTGTGCTGGTTACAGATGTAGGGCTGATAGAATTCTGAGGAAAGCATACTTTATGTGTTTTGAGAAGTGAAAATAAAGATGTGTAACATTAAATTGACATATGTATTATTTTTATTACAATAGAATTACCAGAGGCACATTTCAGCTTAGACAGAACGGCCTTCAAATACCATTTTGGACAAAAGGGGTACTGAATACAGTACCCATTATAAAGCTCTTCTTCCAATAGAATAGAAGTCCCAAGTAGTTCTATCACTGGCCATTTTGCTATCTTTCATAGCAAAACACCCAGAAATACACAAAAACACCTGTCAAGCTTTTTTTTTTTTGCTTTTCAAAATTGATTTTAATTTGAATAGAAATCATGATCATTTCAGCAACTGATTGAAAGCTGAAAGGAGCACAGACAGAAAGAAAACCTTACCACACAACAATACCATACTACTTAACAAAACAGTGTGCATACTGAAAAGCTACATTATTAAAAACAGCAATACTACCACACTGCTACTAATTTACACTGATTAAAGACTAATCCAGTGGGTGGAGCTACTAATCTGGAGAAATGGGTTAAAAAAAAATAATCCACCTAGTGGTGAGAGAAAACTGTTATTTTCAGTTATGGTTTCGTCAAAATAAACAAAATGAGTGTAAAAAAAAAACACATTAAAAGAGCTGAACTATAATCTATAAGGTCATTCAATATCAACTGATAACTGAGCCAGCTTGTTGTTTAAATGTAAAAATATTCTGGAAATGGTTGGACACATTAACAATGAGAATATATGGTTTATCTGCGAGGGTCTGATGATGATGATGATGATGATGTCTGTTCTGTCATCTCTACTCTTCATCTTCTCTGGATGTGATGTCATACACCACAATAAAAGCAGCAGCCACGCCCACCACAGCAGAGACGACCAATCGAGTCACAGCTTCAGGAAAACAACAACAGAATGTGCAATCTAAGGAAATAAAAGAACATTTCCACACAATGAATATTTTACCAGAGAAGGACATTTATTAGAGAAGGTGAAGTGTGCCATTTCTGTACCATTAGTGGCACGCAATGAAAATGAAAAATTAATCTATACAAACAAGTTCCACGTTTCACCATTGGAGGGAAATATAAAACACCTTTATTTTAATAAATGCATCTAAGTCAAGATAAGATGACAGTAAAGTGATGAATATGAAGATATTACATTTCTCATGAAGGAGCAATCAGTGAAAATCTAAAAAGACTATCACATGTACCTGGACATGGTTGACAGAGATGAGTGTTGTTGAGATGTGTGGTCTGGTTGCAGAATGAATAAGCCACAACACAGCTGTAGGTGTTGTTATCCTGATATTCCACCTCCAGAGGTAGAGAGAGACTGATGCTGAGATCAGATACACTGATGCTGGACAATAAACTGTTTCCTTTGTACCAGGAGAGAGTCACATGACCCACATTCACCACTGAACACACCAGTGAACAATATGATGAAGATAAGTCTTGTGTGGAGTTACTACTGATGACTGGAACAGGCAAAGGAGCTGAAAAACATGTATGAATTAAATGAAATAAGCATATAATTTATCTTCTAGCAGCAGTTATGAGGCCACACATGTCCTATATTACACAAATTACAGTGTAAAGAATCAAATGAACATAGAAGCAGATCTTAACACCGTGTGAGATTCAAACCCACTACGTAATGATTAAGATCCACGATCCATCCATCGGGACAGCAAGGAATATTTATATTTCCTCTGATTCCTTGGCTCAAGACCAATGCATCCTATGACGTAATTTTCCTTCATAATTCTTCTGCCATTTTGAATTTTTGGAAAAACCTACTCTTTCAAACTCCTAGACCGTTTTACTGATTTTTGCGAAAATCGAACCAAATCATCTTCAGACCATGTCAACTAAAAACAATCAAGTTGATAAAATAACTTGCAAAAGAATTTGTCGAATAGCTCATCTAAATGAACATGAGGCTATATCTCCACAACACTTTATTCATACTCAACGTCTTGTGTTTTATGACAACTATGATCTGAGGTTAACTGCACAGTGCCACCTAGTGGTCAGGAGATATGGAAAATGCCTATTTTTGCTTATAACTTCTGAACAGTTTGGCCAAAAGTCACAAGACTGGTCTCTTTACATTCAAAGCAGCATGTCTATATTTTACAAAATTCTATATTTTACAAATGCATTGGTGTATCATTACAAATCTTGGTATGTGTCTTTGACACCGTGCCCTTGAGGCATTTAAAAAAGTTTTGTGGCAGCGTCACACCACATACCAAGTTTGTGGCAGCGTCATACCACACACCAATGCATTCGTACAAATAACAATTAAATTAAAAAAATTGCTAATATCAATTACGCCATAATCGGCCAAACTTCCTGTCCGCCATTTTGATGTATGTTGAAATACTACTTTTTCACACTCTTCCTAAACCGCTGGTTCGATTTTCACCAAATTTAGCTCAGATCATTTTTAGACCATGCTGGCAAAAATACACAAACAAATAACTAAATAAATTTGATACTGCATCTCTGAACTTCTTGTCCTCCATTTTTATTCATGTTGAAAACCTACTTGTGTGTGTGTGTGTGTGTGTGTGTGTTTGTTTGTTTGTTTGTTTTCACTTCTCACTGCTGTGTGCTGTGTGTGCACTTGGATGGGTGAACTGCAGAGCACAAATTCCAAGTATGGGTCACCCCTGCGCCGGCTCTGGCACTTAGCAACCAGAAGACGGGAAGGTGATGAGAGACGAGTGAAGAGACTAAAAAGCCCGGCGGGTCACTGAAGTGAGGCCTTTCAAGTTCTGTGGAGGTCACACCTCTTGGGGGTCAAACAGCCAATGGTGACTTGCACTTTTGTAGGGAAAGTTTAAACTCTTTGTCTTAGAGCATGGTATTTTGCATATGTAATTCGATTGGGTGTTGATGCAAAAACTACTAAAAATTCTTAGAACGCTAATATGTTGCATAGGTATAAACATATAATATACACTCTCAATTAGATCATCCGAAGACGAATTCATAGAAACCAAACATAGTATAGGCGAGGTTACATTAACTAGTGATCTATCATAAGCATGCATAAAACAGTATACAATACACAAGACCATATAACAAGGAGGTAGTAATCATACACACATACATACAGACCTGGGGATATGCATGATAGGAAAGTCATAGAAATATTTGTCTATGAATTAATAAAATAAGTAATTTCTTATAGCAGTATGTGTCTGTTTTAGAGATAATTACGTAGGGGGGGGAAGATTCTCTCTACATACTTTTAGGTCGTAAAGTTGATCTGATCTGGCTGAGGTGTATTAACTGGTAACCAGGGGCCTGTTCTGCCTTTTTAAAGTGTAAGTCGCATTTTGGGGGAAGGGTCCATAGACCCTCATAGTTGGCTAGTTGTTTGGGTGAGGGGGTGTTAGGGATATAAATATATAAATAATTGTGTCTGATTTATTCCAGACGCTACATGGATTTCATAAAAAAATATATTAATTTGTGTTTCCGAAGATGAACGAAGCTCTTACGGGTTTGGAGTGTGAGTAATTATCGACATAATTTTCATTTTTGGGTGAACTATCCCTTTAAATTGAAATTGTATCTTTCCAGCAGTATATGTGTCTATAAATGCTGTGTAGTGAAACAGTGAAGAAATAGCTCTGTTGTGACCAGGACTACACTTCAACCCGTTACATGCATGCTCAGCCAGCCGAGACACAGAGACAGAAGTGGATGTCGATTTTTTTCTTCCTGACTTTACTTCAGAAGACGACACTTTCAGATCGTCATTTTTAAGTACCCCGAGTGATATTGTTTCAAGCCACAGAGAAGTTAGAAGATGTTTATATGGCTGTGCTTTTGCCATCTAGTTGGTAAGTACAACATTTTTTTTTTTTGAGATATGGCAGATCAGTTTTTTTTCTTGCTGTTCTATTTACTTTTGTAACTCTTAACATGTACAATATATCAAGATGAGTGAATTCAGATATCAGTGTTTTCCACATGGCCATTTATTTGCCATGCTGCTGATTCTATATTTTGATTCAATGTTTCTACCATTCCAAATTAGCATTTTTTTTTTTTCAAAACTACTCCAAACTTAAAGCTTGATTTAAATGTTAAAATTGTTAAATTAAATGTTAATTGTATTATGTTTGACTGAGAAACTGTTTGTGTTTGTTCTGCAGGTGTGTTTGCTGATACAGATGCAGTGAAGTCCGTGTCAGTGACTGAAGGAGATTCTGTCACTCTAAACACTAGACTCACTGAAATACAGAAAGCTGATCAGATTCTGTGGAAGTTTGGAACGAACAGGTCTCTCATAGCTCAAATCAGTCGAGAGGCTGGAATCTCCTCCACATATGATGGTCTTGATGGGAGATTCAGAGACAGACTGCAGCTGGACAATCAGACTGGATCTCTGATCATCACAAACATCAGAACCACAGACTCTGGACTTTATGAAGTATCCATCAAAAACAGCAGCTCAGCGACTAAAAACAGATTCAGTGTTGCTGTCTGTAATGGTGAGTAGACAATTGCTCTCCCTCTGTTATATGTTACGAACTTGTCCTAGTATTTAAAGTGAGAATCATTCTTAATTCTGAGGGGGGAAAAGGATTTGAATGTTTTTAACATCTTTGACATTTCTCTACAACAGAATTCCATTTGAAATATGAATCCTTATAACTAAAGCCTTAAGACACGGAAAAATTCCTTCAGTGTCTTCTTGTGATAGTGCTGATGTTTATATAGTGTTTGTTCCAGATCAGACACGTTTTTGTGCTCCACTGCACTACTTTTTAATTGTTTTTCTATGTAAACATGCACTACACAGACGTCTTTGACCTTTGTGCTCACATCTCGTGTCTTTTGCAGCATCATAATAGGCTCCTTTTAAGGCTGCTCTGATGCTGGATTTAAAAAAAACAAAAAGCAGCATCAGAACTGCCTGCGACACAAATAGCATTTTATTGCAAATAGGTTTTATTGCTAATGCATGTTCACACAGAATTTGGAGCAAGTAGAAACAGCCTATAAGCTGTGCTGATAATGTTCATAGTGTTTGCTATACATCAGTCTCATTCACTCACATTGATGTCTCTCTTTCGTTCCAACAACAGTCTCATCCTCTCCTTCTCATCCTCCAGACTCAGTCTCTCTGATAGTGCTGACCTCTGCTGGATCTCTGTTGATTGTAGCTGCAGTCGGGATCTTCTGCATCAACAAGAAATATAGAAAAACTGATCAAGAAGGCAAGTGTTACCTGATGCTACATCTGTGAACATAGGGGTATACTTTAATAATAAACCTGAAATAATAAAGCATTTTTATGAAGAAAAACAAGACCTTTTGTTAAATTTAATACCTCTATTATTATTGTTCAAACAGTTCAGACTCATACAGAAGAGATCACTTACTCTGATCCAAAGTTCTACAAAAGCAGCGCACAGAAAGCGGTAAGATCTTTTATAACTGTCGCCTGTGTCTTGCCCCTTTATATTTATAAAAGCACTAGCAAATTAGATGTTTTTGTCCCATAACTGCCCACACTTTCTTTTTCGTACTACAATAAAGATAGCAAAGACCATTTACACACCCACCCACACACACACACACACACAAAAAAGCTTGTAAAATAAAAATAAATAAATAGCAAATGTGAGATATTACAATGGCAACAACTAAAGTCACAACTGTTTTATTTATATACTTATTTTTTTACTTTGAGGTGGAAAGGAGCTTCTATAGTTAAGAAATAAATAAGATTTGAAGGCAAAACAGAACAAAAAATCTGATAGCGTGCAAGATCTTTAAACATTGCTCTCAGATAAGTGTAAAAACAGTTAAAGGTCACATATTTGACACCTTTCTGGAGTTTTATTTTAGGTTTTGATGTCCTTAAGAATATATATTTGCGGTATAAGTACCAAAAACCATCTTAATATATTTTTACAGCTCCTCTCTCAGGAGCTCTGCTGAGAACAGGGCTGCATTTCCCAAAAGCTTTGT